ACCTCTTGCATTTAAATTTTTGTTACTCAATATATTTTAAAAATAGTTTTATGCTTGTAAACATTTGTAATTAATTACTCGCTTAAAACTTTATCCTTTTGTAAAAGCTATTGCAATTTTTGGAAAGTTGTACAATTCACACTCTGCCTCTTGTGTAAAATTTGTAATAAAATTGAATATAGTCTCTCTTCCATATACACTCGCATGTACAGATTTAGATAGAAAAATTACAGTTAAAAAAAAGTATAATTATTTGATTGAGTTCATATCTCTTTTTCATTTTATTTTCTTGAAAATGCGATATCGTATCATGTAAAATATGTAATGCGCAAAAAATTGATTTAGTATAATGAAATATAATGAAAAACTGTTTGCACAACGCGATTAGACGGCGTCTGTGCTGCCATTGTGGCAAAGGGGGATGAATTGCTTTCACGTTTATGAGGAGAACGTAATCCGTACTTGGGCGTACACGGGCGACGATCGTCTTAGGACGTGCTTCCGGTCGGGAGCAGATCTGGGGATCCCAGCATCCTCCGAAACGCTCGCGTCATGGGGATTTTAGGAGATCGCTACACGGACCGATGCGGTTAATTTTATAAATAATTTATAGACGCCCAATGTGTGCGCGTGTGTATCACGGGCATCCCCCCTCCCCCCATTATGCAGGCATTAATAAACCGTTGCTCTTCCGGACATATTATTAACGTCGGGCTTTTTAATACAACGCGTAAATAAATAACGATGTAAACGTGTCATTAACCGAATGCAGTCTTTTCAATATTCATGTAGTTTGTAAATACGATTAACATATCCAATTAGGTGATACAAATCGTATATTCGGTATCAATTATTAACAGAGATACCTCGATTCTGTTCGTGATAATTTGCGTAATCTATTATTCATAAGTATAATTATCTCGCCGAATAGATCAAGGAAACCAATACGTTGTGCAAAGAAAATAACGGAACAGTTGAAAATATGTATGCAGTTGAAAATGAAAAGGAAAGCACGTGGCATTGATAATATAAATCATTATATCAGCTTTTGAAATCAATTTTAGACAATTTATAATTCATGACAAGGCATTATTTGTGATTTTATGCATCCCTTTTTGTACGAAAAATATTCAAAGAATTATAATACACGTATTTAAAATACATATCGAAATACGTATATTCATTTATCAAAATATACGTGATGTAAAAGTAGCAAAATTTGATCTAGAATTTTGATGAAAAATGTTATCTAAAGTGAAGTTTAGAGAATTCAATTTTTAGAAAAAAGATTATTAGATGTATATTTGATG